TCGGCTCGGAACGAACTGGTATAGGCATGCCTTTATCAGACTTAGACTTTAGACTGGTACCAAAGTCGGAGTCGCTAGACCCTGCGCAGGCGAGACTTCCACCGAGCCAAACACAACGAAACAAGAATATCAAGATGCTCCAGGAGTTACGCTATGCGGGATTCCGCAACAACAAGGAGTATCTGTTGCCTGTGGTTCGTCACGCACGTTATCCTCTCATCAGCGCGCAGGACGCGCAGTCTGGCTTGGATATTCAGATTGTACTTGCAAACGACACGTCGGTCTCAAGAGTTATCATGCAAGGCTACATGGATGAGATACCCTGTCTGCGGGAGTTATACTGCGTGGTCAAGACTATCTTCGACACAAGGGGCTTGTCGGACGTTTTTCGGGGCGGTTTTGGGTCATATCCGTTGTTCATGATGGTCGTCGCTAGCTTAAAGCATACGCCGAGTCCGCCAGGAGATTCCGCACGAGCTCTCTTCAACTTTCTTCACTTCTGGGGCAAGTTCGATACAGCAAAGCGGGGTATTTCTATTGAACCGGCTTACTTCTACGACAAAGCGGAGCATCCTGTCCTGACTGACGTACAGAGGGCCAAACGGAAGGTACGAATTCACTCAGTTCTTCTTCTTCTTCTTCTTCTTCTTCTTCTTCGCACACGCTAACGACTATCTAGAATGGAAAAGCCGATCCCATGCCCGACTATATGCTTTCCCTCCGCGACCCCGCCGACGAGACGAACGACCTCGGTCGCAAAGGCGTGGCTATCAAGCACGTTCAAGTCACCCTCCGAGATCTACACTATCAACTCATTAACGACACCAAAGTGAACACACGGCCATCTCTACTCGCTCCTCTGGTAGGCAACTCGTACTTGTTGCAACTCGAACGCCGTCGCAAACTACAAGAATACGGCCGAGACCTAAAGGATAAGCAAGCTAAAATGCTTTCTCAAAAGGCAGAGGCAGTTAGGAAGGCGGACCAATTGGGGCAGTCGATACCACCACAACCTGTAAACGAAGAGGCGCCGAAGACAAACGAAGAAGAAACGGCTCTAAAGAAAGAGAACGAAGAAGAAGAGACTAAACAACGGTTAGCAAGAGAGCAAAGGGATAGAGATTGGCAGAGGCTTACGGATGAGATGAATGAGCGGTTGAGAGAAAAAGCAGAGAAGGCATCAGCGTTAGAGCACAGTGATGCAATGGCTACCATCCCAGGCATGCCGGCGGTCGAGGAGGAATCACAAGCCAAAGAGACAACAACAACAACATAAAAGAACAAGGCGATGACGTGAAGAAAGCCTGATCTGCTTCGCCGAAGCCCCCAAAATGTGAAATCACCATGATATTGAAACCTTCACATTTGCGCATCTCGGATAAAGAAATCGAGCCTGTTCTGCTAAGAGTGATGATAGCCAGTGCTATGAACGCAGTCCAGCATGCATGCCGTGTACAAGAAACCCCCACCAGACACTATGCCTTGAAATCGACCCTAACCATCGTCTCATAACCCATCACAGGTGCTAACGAAACCACGCTCCGCCACCAGTCTTGCGTCCGCTCAACCTAGATGGCATACTTTCGAGTCCACTCACGCGCCGTCGATTCGTAGCGGGACCGGTCGGTCTTGTAGACGTGTGCGATCTCGGGGACGAGCGGGTCGTCAGGGTTCGGGTCTGTCAGCATCGAGCAGATACTCAGTAGCACTACAATTTTCGTTAGCATGGATTATGGATTCCCGTAGGAATTTCAGGATGGCCTACCCTTTGAGATGGTGAGGGCTGGGCTCCATTGATCTCGCAGAATGTCCAAACAGATGCTGCCGTTGGAGTTGATGTTGGGGTGATAGATGCGGGTGGTGAAGTTGACCTTTGGGGGCTTGAAGGGGTAGTCGGTCGGGAAATGGATCGCTAGGAAGAAGACACCGCCGGAATATGGTGAGTCGCCAGGACCCATGATGGTTGCTTGCCAGTGAAACTGCCGCACAGTTAGCATGTGTTTGGCCTTGTCTCTTTTTTCCACAATTATGTCGGTGAGAGTGTCTGAGCCGCGGGAGTCGCGCACAGAGAGTGACGTACCAGATCATCTCCAATAGGGCCAGCCGAACAGGAAGAAGGAGGGTCACTAGAGGAAGGGTGTCAGCCAAATATTCCACTCTTGGTCGTCTTGCGAAGCAGCAGCGTCGGGTTCTGGCGTATGGCCTCGCACCCGGTCGCTGCCATGTCGCTGCCCATGCGAGCAAAAGAGAGCAAGCGAGCCTCGCCGTCGAGGGAAAGGATATCACCTACCGGCCGAGATCGGTGAGCTCCTTGTTGATGCGCTTGAGAGCCATGGCTGCTGTGTGTATGTGTGTGGGTTGGTATGGGAGGGTATCGCGGTTGTTGCGGTAGAGCGAGTTGGTGTTGAAGAGTTGAAGTGGGATGTCTGCGCAGGCAAGGCGGTTAGTTAGCGGGGGTCCAAAGAAAGCAAGTGCGGCGTATCAGCGGAAGGCTCACCCGCCACACGCCTTCACGTACCTAAGACTCGCTGTGGGTGCAAGACAGGCGGCCGAGCTGTGCAAAGAGAAAGACTGCAGTATGGGGCTCAGGCAGGGGCGTTTGTATTTATCATGTGTCAGACCCAGCCGCAAAGAGGCGACACAGAGCTGACCGCCCAACTGCACAGTGTCGCTGCCCACAAAATTCACCGAGCGTTTCTACCCTGTGCAGCTAACCGCGCTTGGTGGCAACCTATCGAAGACGCAGGAAGATGCGTCAAGGCTGACATGTACCTTCACAGTCGTCTTTGACTGCACTTAGTCACCGTACATTGGTCAGTCGCTCGACCTGAACCCGCGTGGCGAACTGCACTGCGGATACGAGCAATCAGAAGTGACACTTGCCGCGTTCGAGGCCAACTCGGGAGCGTGCATCGACCTTCACATGGTTTGATATGCGTCTACTTCTAAATAAACTCTGTCTGCATGCATAACATCTCTAGGCGCCTACAGCTAACGTGCTACTTGTGATTGGATGCGCCTTCATACACTTTTGTTGGTAGTACAGCAACAGCAGGAAAGATTCAAGTTGGAGCAACCTCGCTACAATCAGCAGAAGGCCTGTAATCCAGTAATGGCTCGACCGAGGATCAAAGCTGTTTTGAATTAGCCAAAATCTCCGTCGTGTTTCTGTTAGACTCACAGTGGATGTCGCTCTGGCCTTCGTATGTCTGTGTCACAAACAAGTTGGCGACATGCCTTCCGATTCCGTACTCATCTGATACTGCATTTCCACCAAACACTTCTTGCAGTCTGCTCACAGTCAGTACAATATCATGCAAGCACTCGGTATAACTTACGTTCGCGCGTTGATCAACGCTCGGTCACAATTCTGTCTCTTGATCATAGAAATCATCTCTGGCGCAGCTTTACCTTCATCCTTCAGGCGTCCGACTTGGTGGGCAGCCAGAATACCATACGCAGCATCCGTCGTAGCATCAGCCAGCTTCTTCTGCACAAGCTGGTATTTGGCAATCGGGTTATTCTTGAACTGCTTCCTCTCTAGTGCATACTCTCGGGTCCTTGCGATGCAGTCTTCGAGAGCACCAATGGTGCCCCAGGCAATACCATATCTGGCTGAGTTGAGACAGCTGAAGGGTCCCTTCAACCCCTCCACTTCTGGAAACATGTTTGCCTCGGACACGGGACATTCATCGAGCTGAATCATACCAGTGATGGACGCTCGTAGACCGTTCTTGTTCTTGATTGGTGGGGTTTCGAGAGTACCGGATGGACATTGGTCGCGCTCAATGACAAAGCCACGGATTTTGCCCGTACTCTGCAGCTTCGCCCAGACAAGGAGGACATCGGCAATGGGCGAGTTCGTAATCCAGGTCTTTGAACCAGACAGCGAGTAGTAACCTTTCTTCGTAGGATGAGGCTTCGCAACCGTCTCCAAAGAGCCTGGATCGGATCCGTGGTTAGGCTCAGTCAGGCCAAAGCAACCAAGCAACTGGCCCTTGGCCATCTTTGGCAGCAGGCGTTCTTTTAGTTCTTCAGATCCAAACTCCTCAATACCACCCATAGCAAGTGAACTTTGAACAGAGTAGCCTGAACGATAACCTGAGTCAACCCTCTCCACGGCTCTGGTGATCAAGCCTGCAGCAACGCTGCTGACTCCGGCACACTCGTAGCCTTGTATGCTCGCACCTAGCAGTCCCAGCTCACCCATCTCTTCGATGATCTTTCTGTCAAAGTTCTCATTGCGATATGCCTCTGAGCTACGTCAGCTGGCTATAGAGACCGAGGCAATGTCTCGCGTACCTAGCACTCTCGGAAGCATACGCTCCTGGCAATATGATTCAGCCGTCTCTGAGATGGCTTGCTCTTCTTCTGTAAATAAGTTGCTTGTGTTTAATGGGTCTTGCCAGTCAAACTTCACAGGAGCATGTAAGTATCGTTTGCCGAGAGCCGCGGATCGGAGTGGAGTGCGCAATTGCCGGGTGGCATGTCTGTATGTTGGTCGAAGCATGTTGAAGTCGTGATCAAGGATGGAGAAAGTCTCCTGGCTACACAAGAGTGACTATTATACTAGGGTCGAAACGAAGATATCCGTAATTGGATGATGTTGGCCTCGGAAAACCCCACGTAGAAAGAACCGCGGTTCGGAAGCACTCCGCGCGCGGTGGCAATAAAGCCAGCATCATCACGTCAAACACGCGGCGCCTGGAGCGTCTGGGGCGTCTAATAAGATCTAGGGAGATTAAATACAGGATTCGAGATGCATCCCCAGAGAATGCCTGCTGAGCCTCACTAAGCGATGACGGGCGATGTGTGGGGTAGCAGTGCCAAGGAATGTAGACCGTGATTGCGCGTGAGACGCGGACGCGTCGTGATAATGGTTGGCGTCACTTTCTCCAGCCTCCACGCCCTCGCCTACGCTTCTACACACAACAATCTAGGGCTACGACATCACCAGGCTCTACCCGATACACACTCACGCACTAGGGCAAACACCAAAGATGGGTATTAAACACCTTTACCAGCTCATTGAGGAGCATGCGCCCGAGGCAGTCAAGAAGGGCGAGATCAAGAACCAGTTTGGACGCAAAGTTGCCATAGTTCGTTCGCAGCATTCTCAGAGTAACAGGTCACTTGCTAACGTGTGCAGGATGCGTATGCATATATCAAACCTCCAATGACGCTTCGAACCTAACATCGTGTAGATCTATGAGCATCTACAGTTTCCTCATCGCTGTCCGATCTGATGGTCAGCAGCTCATGAGCGAGACAGGCGAAACCACATCACATCTCATGGGTCTCTTCTACCGCACGATGCGCATGGTCGACAACGGTATCAAGCCCCTCTACGTCTTCGACGGCGCTCCACCCAAGCTCAAGTCCGGCGAGCTCGCGAAGCGGTTTCAGCGCAAGACAGAGGCGCACGCTGCGGCTGAGGAGGCAAAAGAGACGGGTACAGCCGAAGACGTCGAGAAGTTCTCGCGGCGGACCGTCAGGGTGACGAGGGAACACAACGAGGAGTGTCAGCGCCTGCTCAAGCTCATGGGCATCCCGTACATTGTTGCGCCGACCGAAGCTGAAGCCCAATGCGCGACATTGGCGAGAGGCGGTAAGGTCTATGCCGCCGCTTCAGAGGATATGGACACCTTGACATTCGATTCACCCATCCTGCTGCGACATCTGACCTTCAGCGAGCAACGCAAAGAACCCATTCTGGAGATTCATCTGGACAAGGTACTCGAAGGTTTGAACATGGAGCGGAAACAGGTACGGCATCTAAGGGCGCTTCCAAACTCTCACCTACTAATCACTTTCCAGTTCATCGACCTCTGTATCCTCCTCGGCTGTGACTATCTCGACCCTATCAAAGGCATTGGCCCCAGCACCGCTCTCAAGCTCATCCGTGAGCATAATGACCTGGAAGGTGTCGTTGAACACATCAAGTCCCAATCTTCCAAGAAGCTCACTATCCCCGACGACTGGCCCTTCGCCGATGCGCGCCTGCTCTTCCTTGAACCAGACGTCCGACCTGCCGATGACCCAGAATGCGACTTCAAGTGGGAAGCCCCAGACGTAGAAGGTCTTGTTAAGTTCCTGGTCGAGGAGAAGCATTTCAACGAAGACAGGGTGCGCAATGGAGCAGCCAAGCTACAGAAGAACATGAAGACAGCGCAACAGAGCAGGTTGGAGGGTTTCTTTAAGCCCATTGAGAAGACGGCCGAGGAAAAGGCCAGTCTGAAACGCAAGGCTGAGGAGAAGCTTGAAGAGAAGAAAAAGAAGCAAAAGGCTGACGCGAAGGCGAAGAAGCAGGCCAAGGCTAAGCCGAGGACAGCTGGCTAAGGGAAACTGGTTGCTGCTTGGAGGACAAAGTCAGATTTTTGTGCACGGGAAGCTGGCGTTCATGGAATAGTGATACCTGCTGGCTTACGGCGTTTTCAAGGCACACGCGCTAGCTGGTATTATGAAGTGCAAAACGCTTTGTTACTACATTTGTATGACTGCGTCTTGATATATAGTTTTTTTCTAATGTCAAAATACAATTTCAGATGTTATCACAACAGTTATGGTCTAAAAGCTACATGGTAAAGTGAGATATCCATGTTTTAGCCTGGTGGTTCTCTTGTTGTGTTCCTGTAGTAAGTACAAGCTTTAGTCGATTCGTATACTTCAAGATTTTCCTACGAATGCACTCCCGCTCTGATCTTCTTGTATCGCTTTTCGTGCACAGAAAACTTCAGAATAGATTCAGCGTATTGCGATACTCGACACATTGTGGCTAAACAGGGTGGTTTACTTTTGTAAAGCAAGCTGACCAACAATGTGGCCATGCCTGTCAATAACGAGAGTGCTGAGTGGGGTGATGGTGATATTGAAGGTTGTAATTTGCGAGTTATACAGGGTAGTCGTTCAGACTTACTTCCTGTAATCGTCAGTATCAAACTACTGCTTTTTATGCGTGACTTGAACACAGGCACTGAACAAATCATGCAAAGACATTAATACACTTCATTATCACATACTATTCTCTCGACACCAGCACACATCACCCGTTACATCCGTAACTACGGTTTCGACAGGCTAGATAGCTGCGAAACAGCCCTCACCGGAATTACAGGCGCAGAAAAGTACAATAAACATGTAACGATAGATTCCCTAGTGGGGCTATCACGGTCTACCCGAAAGGGATCATCCGCCATCCGCCTTCGAGTCACGCAACAAGCTCAGCAAAAGCCCTCGAGGGACCAACACGGAACTTACCCTGACAGGCAGGGTCCACGGCTATCAAGGTACTAGTGATCGTTGAGCAACCGCTGAATTTCTACGGCAAAAGTCCGGACGTTTCAAGAAACCGAACGAACCCGGACTTGATTGTTTTGACAGACAAAGAGTTCACGCCAGTGGGTTCCAGTGGCGCACCAACCGGTTCCATGACAGCAATCGCACCATTAGCGGAAGCATCCGCGTTTGAAGAGATAACAGCACTACGCTGGTGAAGTGCAACCGGCTACCCTACCGAAAAAAGAAAGAATGGTACACTACAAAGCAACGAGCAAGAAGCTTTGTGGGTTGGAAACTTCTTCTTCCTTCGCTTTCGAACTGTGATAACCAAACCACGCTAGTGCGTAATAGGCCAAGTCGAGCCGCTCCCGCTACGATTGAAGAAACAGAGTTCGGGGATGGGAAACCATGGCAGGTATGGCGTGAGTAACAAAACTAATGACTCTGCGCGAACATGGCGCCACATTATCGCGCCACTTAAGGTTTTCAAGGGTTCATGAATGTTAAGTTGTTGATCGACGTCGGACCCGACTTCTCCACAAACAACGTTTCAGTGAACAGAAGTGGATCACCACGAGCTCATGTGATGCGGTTTCGAGCACCGAAAGTTTGTTATCGTTCAAGGGTCTTTTGTGACACAAGAATTTTGCCCTTTTGGTTCTGGCATGTTCCGTATTCCTCCTAGTCCTGGCACGTCAGGCGGGGCTTCAACGGCAAACCTCGTCGATCCGGGAGAGTTGCTGCAAAGGGAGGTTGGCTTCATCCCTGCTCCTGCTTTGAACTTGCTGCGCCCATCATGCCAAAGATGCTGTTTTGAGTGCTGGGCGCCAGCTTCAGCGGGGAGTAGCGTGATTCTGGGAGGCGCCGATTCGCTTTGATACTGTCCAGGACCCTGCACATGTCAGTTGAGTAAATGTCACGGCAGGTGTTATGCATGAACTCTGATTGTGCGCAATCGGATGTGAAACACAGAGAGAAAGGCAGAGCGGGAGATGTGCAAAGCTTACTTACCACTCTGCGTTGATAAACTTGACAGCTTTGCCGCCTGTCCTGGTAATCTCCTTTTGGATTTTGGTTGCAGCTAAGCCACCGCCTGCGCCGCCGTTTGCATTTACTCTTCCAAGAATGACATGCGTTACGGTTCGACGGCCTAGTGATATCGAGTGTCTAGCGCCGTGAGCGGCGCAGAGCTGCTTGAGCTTGTGGTCAGAGACTAGGGGAGCGGTCGAGCCGTTGAGGTAGAAGCAGAGTCCGGCGAAGATCTGGTTCTCAGGAGGCTTTGACGAGGATTGGGAGAGGTCGCTGTGGACATGTGCATCTGATTCTGTTCCTGCATCAGAGGACACTGGAAGCGCATTTGCCTGCCCATGGTTGGACATGTCATGCGCGTTCATGGCAACACATTTGGTATCTTTCTGTTGGGACTGCTTTCTGCCTGCCTTGCTCGCAGCCCATACCTCGGCCAGGCTCTTCTGTCCTCCTGTCCTGAGACCTTTTGCGCCCTTCTCCCAGCTGCCGTTGTCCTTGCGACCATCCTTGCCAAAATCCTCACTGCCTGCGCCAACCGTGTCTGCGACCCGTCTACCCCCATCCCTACCGGCCTTGAACTGCTTTCCCAGCTTGAGGCTCCGCGACGCGCGCCATGACGTAGAACCAGAGAGGCGATTTTCAGCGCGCTGATGACCTGTACTGGAGCTATTCCAGGGGTCGAAGAAACGTCGTGGCGGTGCGGTGGCGGCAGCCGGGGAGGGCTGGCGAGGCTGACGAGTTTCGGCCGTACGCGTTGAGGTGTTGATTACTTGAGATAGGCCAGACGCGTGGGATGGGCTGTCGGCATCGCGGGCGTCGCAAGAGGTCAGCTCCGTGTTCGGGATGGATGAGGCCATATCGGGTGCTGATCGTGCTTCACGGTTAGCTTCGGGGCACCTTCATGCCGGGGATGTGATTGACTGCATTTCGCATGCCCGCTGAACGCACGTGAAGGAACTTGATGGCCATTGACGTTGCAACGGGCACCCGAAGCCGTGCTCCATGCGGCAAAGTGTGGCGGGGGCGACTTACCCTGTTGTTGTTATGCTTGCAGATGCATGTGGGAACAGCTGCGGGCTCAGTGGGCAGTGTGATTAAAACAAAGTTTACCTTGCCTAGGGTCTTGAATCGCCGTTCAATTGATTTTGCAAAACAAACTTTAACATCGGGTGTTATGAGCTCTACGCGAGACAAACATGATCAATAGGGAAGGTCAACAACGGAAGCCTCGTTCCTTATGCTCTCGTTTCTCGCCTCATCGCGAGCGCCGCCAATGACACGCGTGCAGGACTGTGCAGTGTTGAAACAGTGTGATTGTGATATGTATTATCCATTACTCTACCATGTCTGAAATGACACGATTACGCTAAAGATTTCGGATATCGATGCGTGTTCCGCATCAAGGCACTCGCGTACCTTTTTGTATGTACAGCCGAAGAAAAGAAACATGCCAGCAAAAACAATCGTGTACTACGCCTTTGCCATGCACCCAGTTCCTAAACGCCATGCTTTATCCATCATAGATCACATAAGCCCTGATGTACTAACATGAAAATAGAAGTTATGACCCGCGAAGGTATTTCTTCTGACAACGCCCGCTAAAATCAAAGGCCTCTCAGCCTCGTAACAAAGAACAATGGGGACTCTAATAAAATGAGTCGAAACCAGCGACCAACCTGCATGCTTTTGCGACGATGCGACGTCTCCGTCCTGCGTCAAGGGATCGCGCCGTGGCATCGGTCCGAATCGTGCTTACAACGACCCGGGATTCGTGGGTGCATGTGAACATGCTATGTTGACTCGTGGTGAAGATGCGAGTCGTCATAAAATCATAACGGCCATCGTAATCAACCGCTCGGCTGTCTACGCCTGGGTGGTGCTCTTGCTGACTGACGCCTCGTACATCATTCGGTGCTTCTTCATCTCGTTTGCGTCGAATGGCATAGAATCGCTGCCCTTTCTGCTGGACAGAGATGCAGAGCTGCCGTTGCCAAACTTGAGACTTGCTAATGATCGGGCCTTCTTGAGCGACTTCTTCCCAGCATTCTCACCGGTCGGAGGGGCGTAGTCAGCAGCGGCCCGCTGGCTGAATTGCGTTATCTCTTCCACTTCGGGCCGGGGCTTGACTCGCATGCGCTTGAACTCGCGAGTAATCCTCTCGAGCTTGCTGAGGCCCTTGGGGGCCGGGGCATAGCTTTGCATGGGTTCGGATGCCTGCTCGCCATGCATGCTGGAGCCTACACTGGGCCGGCGTTCGGAACCAAAGCTCACACCAGAATCATGTTTCTTCTCTTTTCCGGGTCCGTTCATGTAGCGATCAAAAGACTCGGGTCCATGGGTGGCTATGCAGTCTTGAATCATGTTCTGGGCAACTCGGAGGTACTTATCGACAATCCTCTGGACAGTGGGCCAACCGGTTCGATCTTCGGGACGTTTGTCCCTGTTGATCAGGGGCAGCAAGACATCAGGTCCTCTCCTTTGCACCTGACTAATCAGTTCGAAGAAGATCTGGCGCTCTTCTTTCAGGGCTTCGTGGTTCAGGAACTGTGAAGGAAGCTTGGTCTGGCCGTGAACAGGAGGGAAGAGGGTGTTGAGATAGCTGATGCAGTTGAGCTTGTTGAACTCTTCATCTGAAAGGTGATTGATCATGATCTGCCAGCGGATGTTAGTAGATCACGTGTGAAAGGAGTGGCATAGCTTACCCATCGGCGGAGTCCGACCCAGAGCTGAGCGTAGTACGACTCAGCTTTTCGGTTCTTGCCCTCAAGATTGTTGATCCAGAGTGCAATGCCCGGTGCCTTTTCGGCTACACGGGCCATGTCGGCATCCCATGTGTCCCTGTGGACATCAAGGGCCTCGAAGGTGGTGGCCATTTCCCTCCGTCGGCGCGTCTCGAGATCTTTGAGGTAGTCGAGAGCTGTCAAGGCTTGGCTCCAGTCAACATCAGCTGGCTCAGGCATGAAGGTCCGGCTGACAAAGTTTACGATGAAAGCGGGTGGGAGTGCGCTGGTCCGTGTGGGTAATGCTTTGAG